CATCCACTGAATTTGAATTATTTATATCTAACTAACATTCGCATATTATAATCACGCATCTTATTTATCTAAATAATAAACAAAATGATATAATTATTTGTTTTTATTTCTCTTCTACAGTAGAATAGGTGATTTAAATGATGTTTTTTTTTTATCGAACCAATATCATAACGAAAACATCAAACAGACAGAAAAAGCTAATTGAAAGATCAGCATCATATACAGTTTACAAACATCGATATAACATTCACTCACACCTATCCTATTGAATCGATTTTAATTCATCTTGTCTGAAACATCAATCTGCTTTCGAAAGATAACGAGTAGGAAGAAAAAAATTATATTTGCGTTGGACAACATCTAATGAAAAAAAGTTTGTCATTTATAAAAATAACTCTGTTTTGGCCCGCATATAATATATTATCACTCGTCTATAGTTTTTCTGTAAATTAACATTTTCCTGACTTTCAGTTATTAGAAAATCCTCAGAAATATTAGCAGCAGATTTTTTCAACTTTAAAAATAAAAACTTGAGAAAACACAAAGGTGAGAATTTGTTGTTGTTTTGATTGATTGATATGTTTTTTTTGCAGGAATTTATCAGACCATTAGCAATAGCACAAATGAATTTATATCAATATGGTGGTGCGCCTTTGATGATTGTTGGTATTGCAGGTTGCATACTCAGTTTACTTATTTTTTCGACGAAGAATCTTCGAAAAAATCCATGTTCAATCTATTTCATTGCGTATAACACTGCGAATCTTTGTCAAATATGTACAACTTTTTTACAAGCAATATTAGCATATGGTTATAATATCGATATTTCAATAGCCAGTATCTATTTCTGTCCTTTTATTTGTTACATTGGATATGTTTTCGATATACTCAGTCCATTTTATCTTATTTTGGCTTCAATTGATCGAATGTTAGTCACTTCACGAAATGCACGCACACGTCAACGTAGTAATAATCATTTGGCTTACAAATCTGTTATCTGTGGTACTATATGTTGGATGTTATTTCACATTCATATATTCTTTTTCTTCAGAATTATCGAAATTATACCAAACTATTATATTTGTTATTCTGGTTCTATTACATATTTAACATTTGCAAATTATTATGGATTAACAAAAACCATCATAATACCGATATTGATGCTTATTTGCGAAGTATATACAATTAAGAATATTCAATCTGCACATCGTACACGAGTTATTCCTCTATCAACAATCGGTAGTAATGTCTTGAATAATAATGCACGTTTTAAAGATCATCAACTCATTAAAATTTTATTTATCAATGTTACTGTTTATATTATTTTCAATCTATTTCCCGTGATTGTGGCTATCTATAATCAAATAAATTATTATCAAATGAATGTTTTTTTAACGAGTCTCAGTCATTTTATTTATTATATTCCTATTTCTATTGGTTGTTATACTAATTTAATTATATCGAAAACATTTAGAAATAAGACTAAAACTTTACTTTTATGCAAATAGATTTTCTATATTCGCAAATGTAAAATAATCAATTTAATGTTGTCTTTGTCTTTGTTTTTCTTGTACATATTTTCATTTGATCTGTGCTGATTGAGCATGAAGGAGAACTCCGTCGATTTCTTTTTCATGTTTAAATGTCTCGTATTTTATTTTAATCAATAAAAACACTCATTTTTCTAATCGTTTTTCATTTCATTTATTTAACTATTTTATTACTGAAGAGATTAATCTTCTAATTATAAATAATTCGGAATGTAAGTGACAGTTTTTAATCGAATAGTTTTGCGTCGAGCTTAAATAAGTTATAGTAATTCATTCGAAACATAGATTATAATTAAATGAGAAAGAATGTCTATATTATCATGATAACCAGGAATGTTGTCAGAAACTGATATTTATATTATAATCGTAATATTCAAAAATATAATATTGCATCTATGACTGTGTTTCTGACAGAGACTTAATTAACTTGTTAATTGTTGAAAAAAGTGGATTCTTATATTGGCATGTCAATCAAGAGATAAATTATTTGCTTCGTCGCTGTTTTATATTTTTAATGTTTGAATGATTAATTATGTTAAATGAAAATCTATATTTTAATATATCATATGAATAGTCTCTCAAAGATGGAAGGTGTGGGTGCAGATTAATGTTTTCCTTACCCGCACCCTCACCCACACCCTCAAGATTGAAAGTTTTTGAAAATAGCCTATATGATCATTGTTTAACAAATCTACACAGTTTATAAATAAAAACCACGTCAATGAAAATTATTGCTCTACCATTCCATCATTTAGGTGTTTCATTTTCATTTCTGGTGCGCTGCCGTTTCCATTTTAATCTCTCGTCCATCTTATTCGACAACTGTATGGCTTCATCGTAACAACGTTTGTAGTCATGTTTTACTTCTTCATTCACTGAACTTTCCATAATCGACTCAGAAGCGATTTTATGATATTCTGCAGCTTCTTTAAGATTACCACAAATATGAGCCAATTCTCCTAGACACCTGTTTACTTTGGCTTTATCCTCTAGTGATCCTTCTTGGATTAAAGCACGTTCCCAAGCTTCCTTTGCTTCTTTTCGATTACTCGTACGTCGACAGGCTATACCAATATTGTAATAAATATCAAAGAGATGCTTTGAGATACTTGTATTAGCTATTAAGGTTGTTAAACAGGATGCTTTTTCAGATGTGATAATAGGTGAAGAAAAGTATGGAATCGCTGCATTCAAGACATCTATTGCACCGTAGTGATCTTCTTTCTTTGCACGTAATATGCCAATATGGAAGTGTAGAAAACCTTTCTCCTCGTCTGTAAGATTTGGTTCATTTTTTAGCATATAACGATAGAATTTCTCGGCTTTGGCATTTTCCCCTAACTCTTGTAATAAATTACCGATGGACAAGAAAGTATACCCATCACTTAAACTAGTTAGATACCGATGTAAATCATTGTCAAGGTCAGAACAGCTAGTCAACTTGATATTCCATAGATGATCTCTTCCGGAAACATTTTCGATGCGCCAGACTGTGCCTACGGAGAAAAGAACCTCCTGTTCTTCATTCATTTCGTTGTTGCTTGGAGAAATATCAGCGAACGGCTTCCCAGTGTAATTGTGAGGCTTTTTTATATGAAGTTCAAATATGACGCTTTCATGATTGTCGCGCATAACATCATCTCCAGAAAATGCTTTAGCTGCTTTCTTGTTTTTTGTAGTGGAAAGAAAACCATTCATTGAAATTAAACCATGAACATTGTCTTTTAACTGCTGTAAAATTGTGTTTGGTAGTTTTTTACCACGATAAACAATAAAATCTTCCTCTATTTTCTGTTTTTCATCAGTTCTTCTAGCCAACTCTTTATGTAAATCTGTGATAAACAGTCGATAAACGAAAATGTGCTCAATATCTTCACTACGAAATGCCCTGTTTACCATCCGAAAACAAAAACTGTCATCAGTATAATAAGCAATAACATTTCTTGCAGTGTAACTATCTTGAAAATCTTTTATTTTAGCTAATTCAACGATGTTGTCTGCATAGTATTCGCGACAGGTCGATAACATATCGTCTTTAGAACTGTTCTCATCATGATGCATGCGAAGCAAGATTTCGACAAGAGTTTGAAATTGAATAAATCTTAGTGATTCATTAGATAATTGCCGAATAGAGTTTTGTTTCAATGACGAATTCAGAACACCAAGAGGTGGAATTAATCTGCTTTTTTTATATTCATCAATCGTTTGTGAAACAACGGCATCTAATTCAGTTGATGATGGGCGTTGTGGATAAGATTCAATATCTAATTCAATTTTAATAAACAATTCATCAATATTCGTGAACACCGGGTGCTCAAAGGATATGTTTGTTGGCTCGAAGAGAAGAACATATTGCTCTCTCAATTTGTTTTCTTTTTTCTTGGCTTGTTGTTCGACAAGATGGCACATACTTGGTCCATATAAGACAGAAGATATAATAACAACGACATTAGCAACTAGATTTTCTTTTAGTATGTACAACGTAAACGGGTAAGTGTCATCGAATACTCGGATATACTCAAATGTCGCTTTCAAACGTGTTATCATAGTTTCGTGCATATCCACAGATGGAGAATTTTTGTCATGTACCCAGATACCGATAAAATTTTGATTGCGTCTTTTTTGTTGCACTTGTTCAGACGAATTTCTAAGATATATATAGTTTCTCAAATTTTGAATGCAAAAAGAATTGAAATAAATAGTTTACCTAACAGTCGGTACCTGAGTATTTGTAGTAGTCTTATACATCTAAAACAGACAAGACACTGATAAAAAAGGAAATTTATTACATTGATTTTAATCACGAAAATTAGAAGAAACACACGGTTCTAACATATTTCTCAAAATACTGTATTTATATTCGAATTGCCGACGACATCGCTGATCAGTAGTTGTTACGAGAGCTTTCGCATAGAAATCAAGAGCTTTTTTATGTTCTCCGATCTGGTAATGCAAATCAGCAATAGTTCCAAAGATTAAGCTTTGATTGATAGAGGATCGATATGATTCTTGAATTTCAGCAAAGTATTGCTCATGGGGTGCAACTTTTTTGATAATGGATTGGGGACATTGCACAACTTTGTTCATATGATGGAGTGCTTTTGAAACTTCTTTGATTTCAGCATACAATAAGCCAAAATGATGATGGATAGAGAATATATCAGGATGATCCTCCGCGAGAGTGCGCAACCAAAAACTGTAATATTCTTTTGCTTCATCTACAAGTTTAAGACAGCGTAGAAAATGACCAAATGTGAGCCAATTTAACGGCTCTTTTACTTCGTATTGCAATTGTTGTATAACTATTTCCAAATCTGGCTCGCTTGAATAATTCATTTTCACATACCATACACCATCTGGTCCTTGATCAACAGAAGAAATACGAAATGTGCTTCCTATAGGAAATAGAAGACAGCTATCTTCATGAAAATCAAAGAAGTTTGTTCTCTGAGTAATTTGAATTTCAAATAAAACTGAAGTCAAACCGATGTCAGTGTTATGTCTTGATATCGTTCGAGCTGACATCAAGCTTTTCGTTGCTAACATGAATGAACTGTTACTGAATATCTGATTGCAACTATTTTTTAAAATATGAAGGCTTTTATCCGAAACGATATCTGCATGATAGACGATTTGCGGATATATCAATTGTCTTTTGTGTGATATCGAAATATAGTGATGAAACTTTAATAAATCTGGCAGCAGAGCTGTAATACAACACGTATTTATAAGGCGTACAGCATATGGGCTGTCTTTGAATGAATTGTCAACGTTGCAAGCGGAGTCATTTATGATGTCGGGTATTTGTGAGAAAATCTTGGATAATAAATAAATACTGAGGAACTTATTTTGTTGATAATCGAGTTGAGGTAAAATCAATTGGCTCATATCGATAGATTTAAAAATAACAAAAGAAAAAGATCTTAGTTTTGCTTGTCGATATAAACAGATGTCGTTAGCTAAACTTTTGAGCAACCAATCGACCTTAGTAAAGATGCCATGTATAATCGGATGTTGCAACAAAGAAACAGATGTTGAAGGCGATTCGGACCATATGTACAAAGCTTGAAGTTTGCCAGCTTGACAGAAATGTTGAAAGTCAACAGATGATATACACGTATAAGATGATATAAGGAAAACAGTCCTAGTTTCTTCTAAAATAAAGTTGAGACAATGCGTCACGTCGTCAAAGTCCTTTATTAGGACGCTTTCTTCGTTCGGATGGGACAATACTAAATCTATACATCGTAATAATACGATAACAATTGGTTCCGAAACTTTTTCGAATTTCTGCTGTTTCCAAAGTTGCAGAAGCGACTGTTGGTTCGGATTCTGCGAGCATATTTGAGACAGCATCAAATCCCAGGATATCGGCTGTAATACAGAACTCTTAGTGCTTGAACTAATATCCATATGCAGTTGGTTATCCAAATCTTGCATGACAGTCCAAGCCCCTCTAATTTTAGGATACGAGTTCAACCATTCTGGTTTAAATTCATTATCGGGAATATAGACATAGATATACTCGACACATCGGTGATCATGAATGAGTGGAATTATATATTTTCCGGTGAATGCATCAGTCACGAAATAAATGAATTTGTCATTTATAGACAAGATTTCTGAGATACATAAACAGTCATCTTCAAATAGCTTAATGTTTGGACTTGATTGAATCGATAATAATGCGGATGAGTTTATGCCGTGATATGCAATAATAATAGAATTGCTATCAACTGGATTTTCTACCCACGTTCTCTCATTCACAGTGTCTATACAAAGAGAGGTAATATCAGGAAAAATTTTAACGAATGTGAATACGCATACCTTGTCTGGTGTGCAGTTTTTGATAATTCACAAATGATTCTAATTTAAATCCTCTTAAATCTTCACAGCAAGATGGAGTGCCATATATAGTAAATTGATTGCTGATCACACCAGTCTATAACAAAAGCAAGAGCTATATAACTGTATAGAATGTGAGGAAAGTTTTAAATTATTTTATCCGGAATTTCACCGTACATGATATGGGTGGATGTGGGCTGTGAGTGATGGTATTTTCTCCTGACTCACACTATACTCATGCCACACTCTTTCCTGCACTTATCCTAACATTACTCGGTCTTGTCAAATATCTTGCGCCTTTATCCTTCTCTTGTCTGGTGTGACTAGACAGTTGTGCCCTTCATCCTCGTCTCCCCTGTTATACTCAAACACTGCTGGCCCTCAGGCTCATCCTCCAAGGTGTACAATCTCAAATTACATAAACATCTAAAATTTTCTAGGATTATCTAAATTCCTAGAATTCCATAATGGTTTCAAGGTACATAGGTATCTAGAACTTCTTTAATTCCTTTAATTTCTCAGAATAACGAATTTCTGAATCTTGAGTAACGATACCCATTTACAGTTTGCTTCTAAAACGATAAATTTTACCACAGCCAGTAAATATAATCAGCGAGTTGAAAAAGTTTATCATTTTCCTTAAGTGTAATGCATGAGTGACGTCTTTCTTACCGTTTGTTTTAGTATTGTATCGAACCGTTTAACAGAATCAATGTTCAGTCTTGAGCAAATTTGCGTTTCACTTTCTGAGATGTCTGAGATGTCTAAGTTACTGGAATTATCCTCCATTACTTCCAAAGTAGAATTATTGCATAGAACAGCCATAGTGTGAGAAGACTTGTTCTTTTCAAAAAAAGATGCTACAATATGTTTCTTATCATCGGAGTAGCGTCTTTTTCTACAGTTCTTGCTTGACTGGTTCATTGATGATGGGCTCTTTAGTCTAAACAACGACGGACGTGACTTTGCCCTTTTTGAGATAGGCACAATACGTTTCACTGATTTTTGTTGAATTTGATCTTGCGTGTCTAGAGAATCAGTATAAGCGCAAATGTCACAGTTATTTGAAGTTGTTATCACACCGAAAGGAGAACTTGGTACTTTGCATCTACAGTTAGATCGACCGAAGTTTTGATTTAGAAGTTCATCAACAGAATTATTTCCAAATAATGTTTCGAGCGGTGTTATCAAAGCAGAAGTACGAGATAATGATGCACTGAGACGCCGTTGCTACAATAAAGAAACAGCGTATTACACGAATGACAGATCAGATTACCGGTAACAAAATCCTCAAATATCCGGCCATATTTCGTAGACTTACTCAGTTACTATTACTTAGCTTTTTTCCCTCAACAATACTTTTCTGAGTTCAATCTTACTTTTACTTACATTATTTGACGTATCGTTTGTCGATAATTGTGAAGATAACTTTTTCAAATTATTAGCCATATGTAATCTGAAAAGATGATGGACTTCTTTGTTATAAGAATTATAGCGTAATATTCAAATATAAAACTTGGTTTAATACACATTTCAAAGTAGATACGCGGATTCGAAGCAAAAAACTATAAATACTGTGTACCTCTTTATCTATGCGAGTTATAGATTAGTCAATGTATCCTTCTCAAATAATCACAGAAGCCATTAAATAGTTATAAAAGGCCAAGAACTTCCCTATTTTCACTTATTTCTAGATTTTATCTGCATTCAGTTGGGATCTGGCAAAGCTCTCACCATCGAAAATAATGGTTACGACCATGCTGATTCTAACGAAATCTCTATAATACTTTTCCGCTACGTAAAAATGACTACGTTCGTCTCATAATACGGGATTATATAATGAAAGTGCATCAAAGATGATAATATCGGTAATACTGATGACTATACTGTGTCATCATCACATGTCTATGTACGCTCTACTAAAAGTCATATTCAAAGCAATTTAGAAACAGTGTTGATCATAAAAATGTGAGAGTATTAGAAATATAAAAGAACAATAAAAAAGAATACGAGAAGTAAAAAGTTGGCAACATAAAAGTAAAAAGAATGCGATAAGCAAGAGTATTAGAAATATA